CAGGCGGGAAACATCCACACATGCGTAGTCTGTCCATCCAAAAAGCTCCAGAATCTTCCTCCAGCACAATGAGTAACCCCACCCAAATACCATGCCCTCCCTCCCCGTTTCAATGGCAGCTGAAGCAATAGCAAAGCAGAAGCTGACAGCAATTTGAAGACACGTCTTGTCTCACTCACTGGGAGGAGAATGCATACAGGAATCTTCTCTCAAGGAGTTGGGACCTATTGAGTTTTATAGGTAGTAGCCGGCCTTATATATTTCACACAAGATAGCAAGATTGGGAGGCGGCACTGGGCCTGTTAACAAGGTCCCCAAAGACAGATACAGAGCAAGTGATTTAACGGAACAGAACCTAGAGTGGTGCCTGTATTCTTTTGCAGCTGCCTTGAGAAAAACACGCCTGCTCTTTCCAGTCCAATGATCTCATGTTTCTTCTTGCCGCCTGACATTAAGAGCTCTAGGTCTGTGAAACAGCCACCATTTTTAAGGGGACCTTTGTGTTTTGGAACAGGTCACGTGAACTGAAAGATTGAGGGCGAGTTGGAGGGGAGAAGGATGGGGAAGAGGATGCATTTTGCTTACCGTACTGAATTATTTCTGCTACGGAGCACAAGTGAGTATATTTCATGGTTATATTATGCCTACAGTACGTAAGAGGGAGGAGAAGGAGACTGAAGTTATGAGAGAGTGTCTAGGAATCAAGACTAGAAGAGCAAGTGTGATTCATAGATCAGCTGTTGGAGAAACTGTGTACTCACCTTTCCCCTGTTGGAGAGACTGATCAGCCATCAAAAGATTGATACAGGTGCAACCCCTTTGGCAAGGTAGGATGTAAACAAGGAGGACCCTCTGGTAGAAAAATGCCTGGAGATACAAAGGGAGAGGCTAGTGGGGGTCTTTTAGGAACATGTTGCTCACATTTTGGATTTCCTGAAGCTATTGCAATTTAAAGAAAAAAGTGGCATAGAACTGACTGCTGAAAGGGCTTGAAGCTGTCCCTGGTGAGATATATGAGAAGAAAGTTCTGCCTCTGGTATGATCCACTTGTCCCTGCTCTTGCTTCTGTTTGAAAAATACATCTTGACCACAAATTGGCTTCCTGAGCTTTTTTTAGAAATTCTTTTTTTTTTTAAATGGCAATAGCAGCCTACAGCTGTATAGCAAACTGTGGACACCTATTTGAGGCAAGGCAGGGAGAGCCGTGAGTGTTGGGAAGGGAAGAACAACACACGGTTGAGATAAATCCATGATTGAGTATTGATTAGATTGCTCCTTAGAGCCACTTTGTAAGAGCATCTGTCGATTGTTCTCACAATTCCAAAATTCTATCCCTAAAACTTTGAGAACTCACAGGATGTTATCTTTAGGAAAGGAAATTAAAACTCTGTGTGTGTGTGTGTGTGTGTGTGTGTGTGTGTGTGTGTGT